AAAAAATGATAGACAAAAGAGATAGCCTGTTCCTAAATTCTCAGCAGGGAAGACAGTCTTCATATTCAGAAAGGCATTCCACCTTCTAGGCGAGTGGCCTAGAATCTGCAGGTCTTTCAGAGCAGGCTCTTCTTGCTCTGGAAGAATTTAGTGCTAATCTGGCATGAACGGGTCAGAAATCTCCTGGAGGCGGTGGTTGATGTCCACCTCACACTGACTCATGGGGGACAAACAGGGTGAGTTGCAGGAAATATCAGATAAGAAGAGCTGCATTTTCTATACAATTTTTTTGGCATGTGGGCCAGTCACATTATGACTCTTTCCCTAGACACCTGAAATGTAGTGATGCATTTTGCTTCTGCAGATGCTGAACTACACACTGAAGCTAAGAGGTACAATTCATCAGGCAGACTCGGAAGAGGGAGGAAAAGGACGAGAATACTCCGGAAGAGCAGCATGTACTGTAGAGAACACGGCACTCACACAGAATTTGCAGTGACATCCAGCTCAGTCTGTCCCTCCAACCTTACTCCATCACTTCCTCAAGGCAAAAATGGGAGAATTATCTCCCCAGAATGGGAGGAAAATGTGCCTTTTAACTTAGAAGTGAGAGAGTGTGGCTCAAGAAGAACCCTTGGGCTTGGAGAACGCATTCGAAAGGTCAGCTCTGGTGGACAGACATCAATTTGCTTCCCAAAGTGATTCATTCTATCGTCACCAAAAAATCCTCAGAACGTTTCCATCTGGAGGCAAAACTATTGCAACGAAACTCCCTGCATCCCACTTAGGAGTCTAGTGTGGAACCAGCACCTCTGCTGCCTGGAAAACACAAGCTGAAGGGTCCCCTGGTTAGAGGGCTTCCACACAGGCTGTGTTTCAGCAACAGAAACGGAGACTTTTTCTTCTAAAGCCAAGGGCTCCTTATAAAGCCAGCAGGCTTTGGGAAATTCCGACAGGTGACTAACATGAAGAGATTCTGCTATAAATGATTTTAGCCACTGAGGATGTGACTTCTGGATTAATAATTCAATTCTTTTTAAGAAATAAAGAGGGGAGCAACAGAAAAGGTTATCATAAATATCATCAAATGCATTTTTCTAAAATTATTCTATTACATTTTCAGAGGGTATAATTATGAATGTTTTTATGAGCAATTTACCGGAAAATTAAAGTCCCTTAGTTTAAAAAATAATTATTCCATCCCTCTGGCAAAGGATTTTATCCCAGCCAGCATCTCTTTTAAGCTATGGGGCATCATTTGTTCACTGCGGAGAGCTGTGCCCACGTAAGAAAAGCTGATCTGAGAATCAGTCTCTAGAAAGGGTACTAAATTGCCACAAAGTGAATCAGGTAAGACTGAAGCCAGGAGTGGAGACAAAACACTTTGAAAGTCAAAGACCTGTGTGGTTCTAGAATTCCGCAGGGCAACGAATAAACTACAGGCCTTGTTAACTGATTTTAAATCAATTTAAACTGAGCTTCCAGGGGGTTCGATCTCAACGCATCTGAGCTTTTCAGTGTTAATCCCACCCTTTGGTTTTGATTTTCCCCCTAGGTTGGCCTGCCCTAAAAGCGTTCAACCTTCAGCACTGGTGTTCCACACCAACTGCGTGGCACACAGCCCTGTGAGGATAACTTCAGTGAAGCAAAATATGTAAGCTTCTGGCATGCATATAATAAGGAGATTCTGGAAAAGGGTTCTTAACAACAGTTATGTCACAATGTTCATGGCTCCCCGAAGTCCCTGAAAGCCCTGTTAAATTAAAGATTCGCCGTGGTGTTTTTCCACTTCATTCTTACTTCCCATGTTGCCTCTTGCCTTTTTTCCCCACTTTCATTGTGTTGTAAAGATGGGACTGAATGACACCATTAATACACCTAGAAAATGGAATGGTTTTTGTTAAAACTGCTATCATTTCCTGTCCACTTTTAGGAGCGACAGGGGCCACGTTTCAGATTACGGAGTCACACGTCAGATTTCGGAAGCTCGGGCACAAACCATACACAGCCTGAGGAGTTTGAAATCTAGCAACAGCTTTAAGTCTACCTAGATGTCTCATGAGGTCACCTCAATGTCATGAGAATCCAGACCACAATCTCTGTGCCTTTAAAACACTGGCTGGCTGGATGCTAATCCTGCAACCTCTCCGGAAAACACCTCCCAAGTCAGAAAGCTTCCTGATGCACCCAATGCCAAGAACTCCACTCAACCTTCCTTGAGGTTGAAAATGCTAATTATAAGGTGATGATGTTTGCTTTTCCTTTGAGTTGTATGCCTTTATGTTTAAGTATTAAAAAGGTGTAATCACCTAGTGTGTAGGTTAATTTCTCTCAGATATTGTAATTTATGCAACATTAATACAGGATGCCAGCTCCAATTTTCTTGCTGCTTACACTCTGGGAGCCGACTTGCATATTCTGCCAACTCCATTACATCATCTGAAAACCCAAACATTTCCCATTTTCAAATCATGCTCATCTACCAGGCATACTTACACATTCTCTCTTTTTCTCCCTAGTTCACACACAAAGATTGGTGCCCATGAGGACCAGATGCTACATCTGAGGTTAAAGCTTGCAAATGCACATAATTTCTGGAAGCTGTTACTACTGCTGTGTTAGCTAAAGGATGCCTCCATCTCTGACCTTCCTTTTTCCATTCAGACTGTTATATAACCAAGTGCCTGCGTGCAGGATGTGAGTTGAGTGCTGGGGCCTTACCTCTTCACCCTCTCCTCATGAAATCCCCTGAGGGATAGACAAGGGGTTGGTTCAAAGAAGAGGTGGGGGTGACCCTCTGGGGCAAGGGGATATGGGTCAGCAGGTCAGCTATTCGACATGCACGCCCGCTCATACTGTCCCTCTCCCCTTTTTACTGAGCCTAGGGGGCTGGTGGTACTGAATACCTGTTATATAATTTGCAAGAACAGCAAGTTACCGATTTGCTTGTCGGTTCTGCAGCTTGCCACCCTGATCTCTCCTGCAGGAACACCTTCTGGCAAGAATGACACCTGAAGATGCTAATAAACTGGGGGGGGAGGGGGCAGGTTAAGACAGGGGAGTGGCAGCTCAAACCAGAAATTATTGTGGCTTCCTAAATAATATATCCCCCTCTCCAAAAAAAAAGGAAAAGAAAAAGAAAAAGCAAGCCTCAGAAACACATGAAGGGGATTTTCTCCAGTGTTTCTGATTAACCCTGTTACATAACCCGCTCGCATTCCAAATCCACCGTCTCAGGGTCTAAATATACTCTTTGCAGCCAAGAGCTCTCCACACACAAACTCACTGCGCTAGTGACAGGTCCAGGCCCCCAGGTCCCCAACCCTCATCCCTCTACCTTCACTCCTAGCCCTCGCTGCCCCGACCCCTCCCGCTCATGCCGCGGTTCGGTACATTCACTCTTACGAAATGGCCTTTAATTAAATGTTTTTCGCGTGTGTCATCCTGATGGCTTTTAACTGTACTCAAATTCCGTGAATGGGAAAGCGCCGGGACAGGGGGTGTGGCTAAGGGGGGGGGGGAGAATACTGTAAAACAGCCAGCACATGATCAGCCATATTCCTGCCTCCAACTATAACACCGAGAGGAAGGGAGCGGCTCCCGGGGTCCCCACTCGCCTCTCCCCAGCCCTCCCCAATCGCCGCCAGAAGCTGAGGGGCGAGAGGAGGGGGTGCGCTGGACCCGTCCTCAGGCCAGGACTGTAGATCCTCTCTGTCCCCAGCCCTGGGCTGCTCGCGGGAGCCCGCTTCCTCCAGAGTGACAGGCGTGATTTATACATTATTTACAACAGTAATTAAAGCAATAGCTTCCTCCCGTTCTTTGCAAACTCCAGGCGCATTCAAATAAATAATTATCCCAACCCCAAGAAAAAGCCCTCATCATGTTCCGACACCTTTAAGAAAGAGGGAGTGAGTGAGCTTTCCCGAACACTACTTTAACTAGGAAAAGGCACGGAAGGGACAATGGTGTCCCCCCACACCCACAGACTCCAAACGAAGTGTAAAAATCGCCCGGGGCGGTGGGGAACATCGCTGGCACTATCCAACCAGCATTCAACTTGCACTGACCATTCTCAGGTTCTTGCCGAAACGCTTGGAACCTCACGGACGGAAGGATTCCCAGAGCAGAAATAAGTTTTGGTGCCTTTCGAGCTTTCTTTTAGTGCTTGTTTGCTTTTGCAGACGCTCACTCCGAATGCGCCCGGAGCGCCCCACAGGACCGCCGCCCCCCGCGCGCCGGCGCGCACACGCCTCCCCGCCAGCCCCGGCGCGGGGCTTCGAACCTCCAGTCTGCAAACTTGCGCATCTCCCCACGCCGCGCCCGCCAGACAACTTAGCGAGCACCTCGTGCGCCCGCAGCCCACTCCCCCCAGCCCTTCTTCCAAATCCCAAAGCCCACCGTGGTGCTCCTGAGAAGGGGCTCACGTCGCCCCCACATCAGGGGCGCCCCTTCTCCACCCCCGGGGTTTCACTCCTCCCGCCCCACTTAGCTCTCTGGGGGATCGAAAACAGCCCGTCTCCGGCCGCCGGGGCCCAAACTGTCAAGAGGAGAAAAGGTAAAAGGGGAGGAAGGTGGCCATAAACAATTTTTTTTTTCCTTCTTAAAAGGACACTGCCGCTTTAAAAGTTTCTTTCCCGGGCCCCCACTCTCCGGTTCTCCGTATTTTGGGGGAGCGTATTTAATTTCGGCAACGCGGCTTTCCTCCTCTGTTTGCAGAAAAATCAAAGCCAGGGGAGCCAGGGGGTGAGCCCGCCGGCTGTCAAGCCTCCTGCCGCCTCCCCCGCCCCCCTCTCCTCCCGCAAACCGAGAACGTGCTGCAAAAGTTTGCAACATTTCTGGGGGGCCGTGGGGGGAGGGGGGAGGGGTGCTCCGGGCTCCGGGTGCCGCTGCAGGCTCGCCGCGGTCCGGGACCCCGCGCCCCGGGCGACAGCTCCGGGCCGCCCCCCGCTCCGCACCCCGGCTCCCGCCGCCCCCTCCTCAGCCCCTCTCGCAGCTCCTACCTCTGCTGGTGCTGGAATAGCTCTGTCTGCGCACCGGGGCGGGCGGCTCGCTCTTGCGGGCGGATTCCTGGTTCAGCGGGGTCTCCCTGGAGCCGGCTGCCGCGTCCGCGCCGCTGCTGCCCGGCTCGCTGGCGGCGGGGTCGGGGGCTGCTGGAGCTGACTCCATGTTTTTTCCCAATGTAGAGATCGCTGGAGATGGCGAGCTCCGAGACTCCCTCTATCTTCTGTTTTCAGAGCAACTCTATGGTACCAAAAAAAAAAAAAAAAAAAAGGGCGAAGGAGACCGTGGAGAACAGGAGGGAGAGAGCAGGCGGCGGCGGGCGGACAAGGAGAGCGCGAGGGAGCGCGCGGAGAGTGTCTGGGTGGACGTGTGTGTGCGCCCGAGAGGGGATGGGAGGCGGGTCTGGCCACAGGCAGCGCTAGCGAGAGCTTCTCCAGCCGGCCCCCACACCCACATTCCCCACCCTCCAGACCCCAGACCGAGAGCCACGGACTGGCTGCCAATTTTGGGAGGTGGGGAAAAGAGGGGAGGCGGGGGGAGAACCTCTCCTACCCCAATCTTCCCCTCTCCCCTGTCCAGGGAAAGAAATTAGGATCGGGGAGATGATTCTGTGCCTACTTCTGAGACTCTCTCGGGAACAGAGCTTGTCCGCATCCGCAGGAGCCTGGGAACAGACAGTGCGGTTATCCACGTTGGGGAACCGAGGGCAGTTTCCTGTAGCCCGGTCCAACCCAGTCCAGGACTGAGAAGAAACTTAAAAGGAATTAGACCTGGACTTGACGCCCAATGGAATACAAAGAATGGGAGGACGGGGCACTTCTGATTTTGGGATGCGACGTCCAATGGGTTTCCAGTGTTGGTCTGATACATCTGTGTCTAAAACAAATTTTGTGAGTTTAGAATCTCCGTGGACGGCTAACTTCGGCTGTGATTGTAAGAGGTCGCTTTCTATTTGCTCCGCGAAGCATCCAGAAACACTTGGCAGGGCAATTTCTACTGAAGAAAACTTTGGCCTGTTTGGTTGAGGACCATCTAAGTCAAGTAGGATGCATCTTGTTCATGTGTGGCTGCTAATTGTCAATTTCCACTGTAACTTGCTGTTAAGTATACAGCGTCGTCAATAAAAAATATACCGGAGAAGCATTAATAAATCTAGATAATAAAATTCAGATAATTAACACCGCCTAATAAGTTGCATCCTTATAGGCATCATTCTACGCCCCTCCCCCTTTTCGTTGATACAAAGAAGGTGCTTACTGAAACCCAAGGAAACTGGAGAATTGCATTAGTGTTACCTTGACCCCCAACCCCTCTCCCCTTTGTATTGTGAAGGAACAATACAAAGTGGATCCGTGTAAGACATTCAGGTGGCAGTAACCTCATTTCTCTGCATCAGTACTAAATCCACCATTTCCTTTTGCCTGAGGAGACACAGTTAACATCAGTACATTTTTAACACATACTCCCCACCTTTTCAGAAGGCTCACTGGCAGGTTCTATTATTTTATACCAAATTTTATTATTATATACCAAAGGTGACATAAATATGTGTATTTACAAGGGTAGGTTGGGGGGCAATTGGGGAACATTCTGCTTTTGCTAACTTCCCAGTTTGGGGGGAACATGCTTTTTAAAAATAAGAGTGGATGCCTAGTGAGATAATAGCTTAAGAGAAATCTCTGCATGCCAGACTTCACACATGGTTTGTGTTACTGTTACCCATCTTGGTCTGATTTCAAATACACAGTGCTATTTGCCATGGTCTGTGTGTGAATCACCAAAACCTGTGGTCCACTCTTGAGAGTAATATAAATGAGATGTGAACAGCTCTGATGCCTTAATCCAGTCTCTGCAAGGATCCCTGGTTTTATTCTACCTGTCAGCACCTACGAATAATGCGGTCATTGTCTCCTCCATCCCAGATAAGATGTGTGTTTCCCCATACAGCAGAGCACAGATATCCAGAGCAGCCTTCACACCATTCACAACTGATTCCTCTGGTAATGAGTGCTCTTGATATAGTTGACCTAGCTCATCACACTTGACTTTTCTAAGTAAACACATATTATTAAAGTGTGCAGTTTAATAGACAAGTTCCTGTGGGACAGTGTCTCAAAATACATCCACTGACCCATATTTATTTTAGAATATTTAAAAAATACTTTCCATATTAAATTTCACCAATAATTATATTGGGGATACCAGTGCCTTAAAAATATCCCTGACTCCTTTGTAGGTACCAGTAGCAACTTGTTATCATTTCTTTGGTTAAGTCTGTTCACTTGGGCCTGCAATTGGTTCCTGAACTGGTATTTGTTCACTGTGGAAAGACCTTCCTGAAAATGGCCTTAGTGACCTTAGTCAATTAAAATAGAATCCATATATCCTTTCCCCGGTAAATTTCAGCTCCAAAAAGCCACATTTCTCCTAAGTCTCTCAATTACTGCTTCTGCAATTTAAAACAATTGGGAACTCAAGTGCTTTCCCCAAGGGAAAAATAAAAGTGAGTTAGATACATTCCTTGACTGTCAATCACTGTTACTAAAGTGTAAATTACCTGGATTGGGGAAGTATTTGAAACCTGAAAAACACAGTGATTAGGTTTATATTTCTTTCCTTCCCTCATGCCCTTACCCTGAGCACTAATTAAGGTTTTCAAAAATTCCAAATATTTGGAAAGCTGGGAGCCTTCTTTAAATTCTGCTCATTGACAAGGACCAAATAGTGTTTGCCTAAAAATGGTTATTTCACTTTGTACTTCTGAGTTCTCTGACAGATGATGGCTTTTAAAAAAATACTATGCTTTGTAGAACAAATAAGCCTAAATCCGTTTTTTATTTTTTTGCAACTCCTCTCTCCCTCCCCAAATTCACCAGGGCTCTCTCTGCCTCCTAACAGATCCCAGGCTTCTCTCTTAATGGTAAAAGTAGCTTCCCACTACTGTTCTCTTACAACAAAGTAACTACTAGTTTTAACTCCTCTCTTTGGCCCCTGCCCCTACCCTACCTAGTTTTCTGCAACCTGGCATATCTGTCAGGTGCTTTACATTCTCTCTCTGTAACATCTGCCTTGCTTCTCTGCCACCACCATGCCAGTTCCAGATATTACTGCTTGCCTAAACCATGACAGTAACCTTCCAGATAACTGGTCTTCAGTCTTATAACCTTGCTAATCCATCCCAGATAGCACCATCAAGTTAATTACCCTGAACTGGAGCAGTCATTTCCCACCATGTCACTCCCCTCCTCACGAGACTTTAATGGCTCCCCGCTGCCTATCCAATTAACTAACTAGTCAATGTGGTATTCAAGGCTCTACCTTACTTTTTGCTGCACTCCTGCACCAGGATGACAAATCAACCTCATCCCATGAAGGAACTCCTGAGGTTGGTTGGAAAGGCACGGGCTGTGATTGATTCATGCTGTCTCCCAGGTGGAGGATTGGGAGTATGACCTTCATGCCAGGAGCTTGCCAACTACCTTCCATTCTTACATGACCCCTGCAATCCATCTGTAACCCTCAAACTACGCCACTTGATAAATCCTGCTTCCCCTCCTCCTTGTAGTCCAGAGTGTAGGAGACAGGTGTCCATGCCTCTTCCCCTGAAATTCCCTTCCTGTCTTCTCTGCTTATCAAAACCCTACTTTTCTTTCAAGCTCCATTCTAGAAGGCAACTTCTCTGTGGGACCTTCCCCAAATATTTGAACTGTCTTAGTACTTCGCATGCCTCTGAAGGTGCTTGGTATACTCTACCTTGTGCTATGCTTGGTTTAATATCTGCCTTACCCTCCCTGGTGGAAGATGCATTCTTTGAAAACGGGGTTCTGGCCTTGCACACAGTGGACACTTGGTAGAGTTAGTGGGTTTGGGGAATGAAACTGATGAACTAATCATAAGGTAGCATGTCTACACAGTGATTCCATTACACAGCAAGAACGAAAACTTAAGCATTTCAGCTTTCAATCACTTGAAATAAACCTTTCCTTTCTGAATGAAAGATTAGTTGACATGTATGGGCTGTTAAAATTTATATATGCAAAAAAGTTGACAGTTATTTTCTTTGCATTTCTTGGAGAGGAAGAGAAGGAAAATTATGGAAATACATAGAATTTCCTTGGGAGAAGGGAGCTTTCTACAACAGGCCTGAGAACAAAGAAGACAGAAAAGTAAAAGCTAGTATCCAGTCAAGAAGTTTCCTTTCTTTCAAAAATGCATCAAGAAGCTGAAGCTGGACCACAGGCTGAAAATATGAAAAACTCAGATGAAAATGCAGCACCACTCTTGGACCTGGGAGGGGCTCCATCCTGATGCACTGCGTATTGTTGGGGTGGCTCCACTGAGGAGAGTCCAGGCTAGGAGAGCCCTCCATTCCAATCAGAGAAGAAATGGCGGGAACCTGAGGTCTCCACGGGAGGGAACTGGAAAGCCAAGATTGCCAGACACCAAAGCGTGGAGCACCCACCCTGGATGACCCACTCCACCCCTCTTCCCATTTTGTGGATGAGGAAACTAAAATGCAGAGAAGTGACTTGCTCAAGACCACTCAATTAATCTGTGGCACTATGTGGTAGCTTCAAATTACCTGAAATCAAGACCCAGGTTGGCCACAAACGAGCAGCGTGGTGGAGAGCAAGTCACTAACCACTTCTGGGTTTATATTTCCTCATCTATGGATGAGGGTTGTTCAAGGTTAGATGAGATGATCCTTCTAAAATGCTTGCCACTCAAAATATTGCTATTATTGTTATGCATCTTACAGGAGTTAATAAAATACTGTATGAAAGTGCACTGTCCAATATATTAGCCACTATACATGTGCCTATTGAGTACTTAAAATATGCCTTAAATCCACATTCATTTTCAAAGACAGTACAAAAAATGTAGAGTCTCATTAATAATTTTATGATGATTGCATATTGAAAGGACAATAGTTTGGATATATTGGGTTAAGTAAAATATGTGATTAAAATTAATTTCATCTCTTAACTTTTTAAAATCTGACTACTAGATAATATAATCTTACTATTTGCTTTACATTATGCATCGTATATATTATACAGTGCTGGAGTGGAACATGTATGGCACATAGTAGGTGTTATGATGGTTTAATTAGAATAACTGCTAGCATTCAGTTGGAGGCACCACTGGGTCAAAAGTGAACATCTGTCTTGTCATTTTGCAAAATCTTCA